TGGTACTAATGTATAGCGGATCTTTGTTAAGATCCATATGTCACGGATAGGATCATAGTCTGTGCTAAATAAGACATGTAATCATTTACAAAACATCACCATGTTGTTATTTAACAAAATAATGTTGTTTAGTCGAAAAAAAAACGAACGAGAGGAAATGCAGCCGGCTCTCCCGATTTTTAATCCTAATTTAATCATCATCTTCACCACGATCATTTATGTTTATGTTCGCCGAATTGACATGAAATCACTGACAAATATGAATATTCTGTATTCAACTTCATTGAAAAACGATCAGAAAAACGATCAGGATCCCTGGATGTTATTTTTCCCCACAATGACCAAGTCGCTGCAAATTATCCCGTTTATTACATGGCCACATTCTCAACAAAGTAACGACATGACTCCCAATCTTAATTGAAATGCTTTTATGGATTTAGAAAATGTTTTTATTGATTTAAAAAATAGTTGTATGTATTGATTTAAATTGACATGCATCCGCTAAGAGAAATAGTCACTAGACACTTGACACAGTGGCTTTAGGCAAAGCAGAAAAAGAACACTCAAACCGAGAGATGAGTTATTATTACAACGTGACTTCACTATTATTTAACAACTGTTTTTATTGGGTTCTTTTATTTGGGGTTAAGTATATGTGAATTGCACTAATGTGAGAAGATCGTGATGTCTCCTCCGATCTGCTTTATGACCTTCTTTCTCCCACTGTGTAGATTGGGGGACCGCCGTCCTCTGTCTTCAATGTTCGACATCGCGTGAAACAGAGGATTTCGACATTCTGTATTCATTGCTTACTTCCTTAAACCTTTTCTCCTCCTTATCTCTTTCATGACTTTTTATTTAATGCTTTATAACAGCTGTAATAGTTTGTTTAGAAATCCTAGAAACACTTTTACGGCAGCTCTCATTTACGGTAACTCCTTCTGACATCATAGCTACCCACGTATAATATATAAACAAAGTCTTGGCTTTCAGAATATGAAACTTTTATTTCCAAAATCACACGATAAATACATTTGTGAGCTTGTAAAGGGAAGATGACAGGCACCTCTCACTCGCAATCTCGAAAAACTCTGCCCGGTTCCCTCGGCCCCCACCACGTTGAATAAACAGAAGGCTGCTTTTGTGGAGGAAGTTACAGCGCTACGTACAGGCTCGGCATATGTACTGCAGCTTTTTCCAGCGGTATCCATAAATCTCTTAATTTTGACCTCAAAGTGCACCAGATTGATGCATTTAACTTCAATATAAAGAAAAACATCTTCTGTTGTAACAACAATAACATTATAAATAGTAACATAGCTGAACATGGTATTGAACATTTAGCTTTCAGTGTTACTGACCTGAGATGTTTTTATTACATGAATTAAGGTGACTGAGGCTTTTTAACATAGACTTTTCAGTGTCCCACATACCGTTCACCATCCCCCACCCCCCTACTGTATGTTGATTTTTGACTTTGTTTGCCTACATGTAAATGGATGGCATTTAGTACCTACCCCCCTCTGAGTGAATAGCTGCTTAGCTACTTGGCACTAAGTACAGATATGTCTACCCTTTCTTCTTAGAGTTAGCCAAGAGGCTATTTTTCATCTGTAGTTAGTTAGATTTTAAAAGTCAATCTAAAACACATTTCATTTTAAACAAGTAAATACAATACATTTAAAACATGCAACATACACTGTAAACAAAATCTGTAATCTAGGCAGTAAATTGCTGTATTACCCACAGTCATTTACTTTGAATTTGTAATACAGTGTGATACTGTACATTATGCTGCACTGTGGGAATATTATCCTTAGGCGGGAAATGTATGTAAGCTGGAGTCTGAAATAAGCTAAAAATATGTATTTCTTAATAAACTAAATAGGCCACCATTGGTAGCAGTTCTCATTATATACTTCTCAGTAACTGCTCCCCTTAAATTAAATGTATTCTGTAGATTTTGGGGATTTATTAATGCATTCATTGCCATCACCATACTTTTTCAAGACTCTTTTAAATTCTATCATTTTATAGGCCTATTTAAGTTTCACTTTTGTGAAAATAACAAAGCAGGGTTGAGGAAATATTCCCAACTGCATCTTCAAAAGTAATCCAAATAGCTACATCAGCATCTAGCAAATGAAAAGCTTTCTTTGTAGACACACAGATCAACTGTAGTGGCACAGTGGCAAATCCCTGCTGTGACTATTTGGACGTTTTAGGAATATTTTCCTATACCTGTTGACTTCACATCTTGTACACATTTAATTAGGAGCAAAAACACACACTTCAAGTCAGATCATCACCCTTAGCTATTTTAATTACCTCTCAAACAACCTAAACTAGTTATAAATGTTTATTTTTACTGTCGGCCGGGTCAGCTGCTGCATGAGACAGACACTGAAAAGTATTATCATCTGAAATTAATCATTATGTTATTAGTATTAAATATATATAAGTATTTTTGCAGCTTGTATTTTTTTACCAAGTGTTTTTATTGCTCTTGGGGCATTAAAAACAAGATTTTAACTTTAGTTTTTTATTAGGGCTGTCAAGTTAACGCAAAAAAAAATTAACGCCACTAATTATTTTAACGCGATTAACGCATGTGTATTTTTTGTCCTCGGCCGCCGTAGTTTCAGAGCGCATCGAGTGTAAAATACCATCAACAAGCTGATGCTGACAGCCCCGCTCCTGCCGCCCGCTTGTGGCAGACCACACTTCCACGCTCACTGGCAGGCCCGGACTGGCCATCGGGAGGACCGGGAGGGAGTGTGTATGTGTGGCGCGACTCGCGCGAGCGAGGCACACCTTACGTGTTGTTGTTGTTGTTGTTAGCATCTGGTGCTAGCTAGCTGCGCTCACGGATATAAGGAGCTGTTTCAATGACATTTCGCCGACAACTGCGCCGAGCACTTGACTTTATGCAGGTAGCCAGACAGTGGGACATTGTACGAAAAGTCAGCACACTCAGCACGGATAGTACGCGCAACATGATTGCAGCGTCCAGGCAGCTCCCATTCGAGCATATATGCCTTGAGCTGCACATAGCTCCAACGATCCATCACAGTGTCTCCACACACACACACACACACACACACACACACACACACACACACTGTATTATTGTATGAGAGAGGTTCCAGGTTGAATTGAGGCGAATATTTGTAATGTTCAGAGGTTGTTGTGTTTAATATTCATGAGAATATTTGTCATTGTTCAAATGATAATAAACAAACATATAAAGCATATTTGTCCACTCATATGTTGATAAGAGTATTAAAAACTTGAAAGATATCCCTCTAAGGTACATTTAGAACAGATAAAAAATTTGCGATTAATTTGCGATTAATCGCGATTAACTATGGACAATCATGCAATTAATCGCGATTAAATATTTTAATCGACTGACAGCCCTATTTTTTATATAATATCTGCATTTTCTCTTGTGAAAAACTAAGTCTTAGTTTGGCCATAGTTATTTAATATATAAAGACTATATATTATTGAATTACAAGAGTAGATATACTTTATTTGATCTAAAATATTGATGTGTTCAAATGCTCTTCTAAACAAAACTGAAAGTCCATGAAAAGTTGTCTTCCTGTTTTTGTGAAGGAAGCGCCATCTCCTGGTTAAAACCTGAAGTTGAAAATCTGGCAACGCCCTCTTGGAAAATAGTGGGAGGGCTTAACATTCCCAGATACTGGTCTTTGGCAGGTCTTAGGCAGGTAACTGGCAGGTAGTAGGCAGGAAGCAGTAAGCTGGAGTCTGAAATAAGATGCTCCATCTGTAGGTAACATAAGATAAGATAAAGATAGGAGAGAGGAGGGACTGAAGTGTTAATAAAATAAACAAGTTTAAATTATTTGTTATTGTTTGTGATCAAGGATTTTTGATTATTTAAATATATACAGTTCTGTTTCATGAGTGTTGAGTGCTGTATCCATAAATCCCTTAATTTCCCCTCAAAGTGCGTGTAAACGTATACAAACAATATGTTGTATGTAGAGAGATGGAAGAAGGGAATCTACTGTCGCACTACCGCAAACATTAGTTTGTCCAATTTATGTAAGTATGTTTTACTGAGGATATTTATTTTACTTTTCTCCAGTCACTGTGCAGTTATAATAGAAGATTTATTTCGATATATGACCACAAGGTGGCGTCAAACTACTTTATCTGATACTTTACCTACTGTACACAAATAGTCCTTCTGAAGTCTGGCAGCAGGGTCTGATGTCATGTAACTCCTAACTAATAACTAAACAATTGACTGCTTACGGTTCACTTCCTTAGCTTAGCACTGATGCATGGAAGTGGAAGCTTTCAATGTTGACTACCCACCACATTTAAAACTACACAGCTACTGAAGTGTCGTGGTATTATTTATTTTGACCATTTTTATGGAATTAACATAATCTTTGTTCGACTGTGGATCAAATGTTGCACCTGGAAAAAACATATTTTCTGTATTCAAATGATTGCTTTATTACTAATGATATAGATATGAAATGTTGCTCCCTTAAAGTAGATAGAGTCTATCTTGAGGAGGGGGCTGGACTTTGTCTCTCTTCACATTCACTTCTGGTAAAGAGACTATGAGAGACTTCCTGTGGGTGAGGTTGTTTCTAAACTTAACATAGATTATAAAGTGAGAATGACGGCTGCAATTGCATCTCCTTCTTAAAACTGTATGCACTTTATTTTTTCTAGAAAGACTTTATGCAGCAGCCTTTAGAGAAGCATCAATCATTACTGACCATCTGTGAACAATCACGAGCCCACTGGATGATCTTATCTACATCAGGAAGGATATGTTAAGACCTTTTCTCTGTTCATCATTAGAGGATACCTAAACCAAGGTGCAAAAAAATGTGCTGTGTTAAAAGCTGCTCAGTTGTGTGAGCTTTGTGTAAAAGGGAAGGAAGCCCTGTCCGTGTAAAGAAGTTAAAAAAAAAACTTCCGTTTCCAATATTACATTGCATTTGTTTCTCTGTAGTTCCTGATTTCTCTTCATATGCTGCAGTTTCAGTCTTTCTATTTGCACAAAGTAGAAGAATTTCTCAGAAGCAGATTATCAGTGTTGGATGTGAAGATGGGACACACTTGGCTCTGTCTACGGGGTTTTTTCTGTAAGTACTTTTCCTGTTTTAATTGCCATTGATAAAACTTTTTAAATGCCTGAGGTTAATATATATTTCTGTCAGTTTGATAATGTCTGATTTAGTTTCATACTTATTTCAGTTCTGAATTTACTTTACCGTGGACAAGCTCAAGGTAATTATACAATTTTCATACTTTTTGTTTACTCATTCTAGACAAATCTACCGATGTAACTCTCCAAACAACATCCGTTTGGTCAATGTATAATACTGTTTTTGACAAAAAGAAAACACATTTTACTTTTTGTATCTTGTGATGGTTTCTAGATGCTGTACTGACCATTGAGCCAAACTGGACTACTTTTTTTACCGGAGAGTCTGTTACCTTCAAGTGTGACATTACAGGAGACAAAGACAGCGACTGGTTTTACTCAATCTACAGGAATGATCAAGAATGGCCTTTTTACAACAAACATGAGAGCTATGAATTACATTATCTAACTCGAGGCTACAGTGGTGCATACCAATGTTGTTTTGATCAGAAGTGCTCAACAAAGGAAAGCAACAAAATCTATCTAAATGTATCAGGTAAGTGATCAAATTAATACCACCATGACCAAGTTCAATAAAAACATTTATTTATTTATTTATGGGCCATGTTGATGTGAACACGCAGTTTGGACAAGTTCTAATATATAATCTGTATATTATTGTAATGTTTTAACATTTGAACAGCTCCACTGACGCTGTATAGGCAGGTGAAGTATACTGTACAATCCTGTGCTTTTCGTTATCACAAAATAATGAGTATTAAAATAAGAATAAGAAGACAGGGATCAGTTTCTTACATCAAAGCATTTACATAAAGATAATACTTCACCAACAAACCTTGTTATACTTTATTACCTGTGACAAAAGGATTGTTTTCACATTGACAGTTTCTGAGAGTAAGTCATTTATTATCAGTTCACTTTTTTTACTGTATATACAAATAGTATTTTGGTTATTATATTTAAGTACAGTTCACACTTAAATTTGTTTTTTACATACTGTATGCAGACAATAAGTAGGATCCAAGGAGTGCATGTAACCCACCAATTATACATCATAATGTTATCATTCTGTGAAATATTGTTTTCCAACAGACAGACCTATGGCTGTCCTCACTGTGTCTCCATCATGGCCGAGTCCTGGAGCCGCATTAACTCTGAACTGCAGCGTTGATCATCCGTCTGCTGGCTGGAGCTTCTACTGGTATAAGTCTGTTCCCCAAAAGTCAGACCACTCCTACAACTCCTACAGCTATGAGCTGCTACCTGGCAGCGAGAATGGAACTGAACAGCATCTCTTCATCATTGATGGACAAACGCACACAGCAGGATATGTGTGCAAAGCAGGAAGAGAGGATCGAGTGTATTACAGTGGGCACAGCAAACCTAAGTTTGTCTGGTCTGGAGGTCAGTATGTTCTTCCTTTTTCTTTCTTTCTGTAGTTTGTGCCACCATTAGGCCAACAAATGTCTTTATCAAAGTTTGCCTGGTCTTGAGGTTTGTTTTGATTTTATTCCATTATTGCAAAATGGAACGAAGTTAGTTATTTTGGGAACTTTTCTTTTACACCAGCATCAGGTCATAGTTCAGTTTTCAAAACCTTTCTCTAAAACAGAATGATGATTGACTGATTCATCTTCTGGACTTGACTGAATTTGAACACAAAATAATCTCTTTTCATCCTGACACATGAGTTGTTGTTCGCCATGGTTCAAACCTTAGACTTTGTCAATCAAAAACCTAATAATATAAGGCTTCTACAAAACATTAGATATAAGTGGTAAGGGTTTTCATTACTTTTATAGTTTGGAATATGTTTTAAGATATTTATCTGCTGGTTAAATAGTTTAAGACATAAACAATAAATATAATTAAACACATTTGTATTGTGAGATTGAGGCACTGGTACTTTCACTTTTGTTTTTCCTCCTACTTTAGTTTGTTCCCGTTTGTTTTTTCAGGGTAAATTAAGTGGCAGTTTTGCCATACCAATGCATTGTCTTTTTCAGTCTGCATGGTTTAAATGTCCACTCTTTGTGTGTTTCAGAATTGAATTCAGCAGCGTCTCTCACAGTGAGTCCTGACAGTGTGCAGCACTTCACCAAAACGTCTGTGTCACTGAGCTGTGAGGGAAACTCCACTGAGTGGAGAGTGAGGAGGTTTACGAAACCTGACTACCTTTATCCCTGTTCTTCCTCGGGGACAATGACTGGATCCACATGCACAATAACCAGAAGCTGGGTTAGTGGAGTGTTCTGGTGTGAGTCTGAAACAGGACAGTTCAGTAATGCAGTCAACATCACTAAAGATGGTGAGTTTTAATTATTTGAAATGTTTGTTTCTGAAGTATTATGTTGTTTTGAAATGTGAAGGTGACAAGCATTAGCCAAACGTCTCTTCAAATTAGTAAAACTTCATAAAAAAGTCCAATTTGAGAAGTGATTTCCAGGGGTACTTCTCTCAAAGATCAAAGATAATATTCTGTGTTTAAATGTTCTCATACATCTACCTGACATTTCAGCTTCTGCCAGACTAGGCCAGTTGTGCATAAACATATTAAATCTGCAAAAGCTGATGACTCTGTCAAAGCCTTTATATTCTTTGATTTCTTTTCAGATTATGAAATGATCCTGGTGAGTCCTGTCCGTCCTGTGGCTGAGGGACTTTCTGTCACTCTTCGCTGCAAGTTCAAGACAGGAACTGTTCTTTATAATGTGGATTTCTATAAAGATGACAAACTCATCCAGAGCGATACCAGGAAGGAGCTGAACATCTCTGCAGTGTCAAAGTCAGACGAAGGCTTTTATAAATGTAAACAGAGAGATTCAGCAGATGGTGGGACGTCACCAGAGAGTTGGTTCTCAGTCAAATGTAAGTATAATTTTTAAAACCCTTCCTTTTTTGTAAGCTGTGTTACAGTCTGAGATAACGAAAGCTTAGTTTCATCTGAATTACACTGTGTTTGTTTAAGAGAGATGTTTTATACAGTTAATCTATAACAGGAACGTTTAATATAAAATAAATATTAATAAAGATTACTTATAATAGCAGCGTCCGGGCCTGGAAAAGCCTCTCAATTTCCCATTCTTCTGATCGTTGGGCTGCTTGGTGGAGTTGTACTGATTATTCTCCTGCTGCTGTTCCTGTATTTATACAGAAAGTCAAAAGGTGAGATCATTTTCTTCTGATATCAGATTGACTCTAATGTAACCACACGTACTGTTTTAACAGTAGAACACTTTGCAAAACATAATAACATAGCAGCAAATGTCTTTTTTTAACAGATTCATGCTGTATCAGGTTGGTACAATGCTCTATTTTATTTTATTATGAACATGACAGCAGTGATATGTTCCTTTATAAATCCACTTCATTTACTACATGTGTTTTGCCCACCAGATCTCAGAGGACCAATCAGAGCACTGCTAGAGACCACATGATCAACCAGAATGAAACTAACCAAAGGGAATATGCTTCTGTTCTTCAGGGTCAGCCTGAATCCTTAATACGTTTTGAATTTTTTGTGAACGTAGCATCCGCGTAGCATATCCATTTCTCATTGGTTGTTTTTAAAAATGTAGGAGTTCATATAGAGGGATTTTAATATGAATTGGGTTTGATTTTGATTTCTCTTCAGATAATGCCTGTCTCTATGAATCAGTCAAAGGCCCTGAAGAACCTGCAAATGGTACAGTATACTAAATATAAATACTGGAATATGACAATTCAAGGTTCACTCTTTTAAATATAAAATAAATTGTATATTTCAGATGAATCCATGGATGTGACATATTCTGTGGTCGAGCTCAAAAACATTTCTAAGAAGGGTGAGTGTTTGAATTTATGTTGTAACAAAAACATGCAATATATTTTGTCTTTTCATGCTTTCTCCTGATCCGTCTAACAGGGAAGAAAAATGAACCGGAGGATTGTGTTTACTCACATGTGCAGATGACATCAGCTGCAGGTATGAAGAAATACTACTTGCTAGGGGACCTATCATGCAAAATGCACTTTTGCACGTGTTTTATACATGAATATGTGTCCCCGGTGTTCCAGGGAACTCACCAAGTGTTAGAAAACACAACCCTCTCTATTTTCCTCCATACCCAAATCTCTAAAAACGGGGCTGCAACGGAACTGATCAAAACTGATCCAGATTTGAACACTGTCCGGTGTTTTGGAAATCTTAGACCTAGTCAATACTCAGGAGATATACAATTAGACTGATCAATCAATAAAATGGTGGAAACAGAGTTGTCTTTCTGGATCTTTATTTGAAGCTTCAAATAAGGCACAGGTCTCACGGAGTACAGAGTACTCTGGAAGAGTGCGCACAGAGACAAGAGTGCGTATAGGTTTTATAGGATCTTGGCAGTTCAACAACACTTCGTGACCTGTCACTGTGGCAGGGCTGGATGGATAGATAAGCTACGCCCACTTTCCAGAGGAACAGAAACTGTACATTGGCAATATAGTAAATGAGGAACTAGTTAAAGACAGGAACCTGTTTAAGACAGATGGAAGTGAGGAAAGTAGGAACACATTGTGGGTTAAAGCCAGGTACAAGTGAGGACAGCAGGAAGTCATTGTGAGGTCACGACAGATATAACCAAGAAAGTAGGAACTCATTGTAAGACAAGGAACAAACACAGGAACTTGTTTGAGACACTTCTTCACTTTTGCTCACGACACTGTGTCTCACCCCCAGACATCCTTAAGGCTAGTTATATGTTGAACAGAGGGCATGGATTAAAATACATCCTCATGGAACAACTGCATAGCATTTTACCATATTAGGTAACACATAAAGTTGGTTTGCACATCATATAAAGTTTACACTACATATAGAGTTTGCCATTACATATAAAGTTTTAAGTATGCACTTGTATAAAGTTTTCCACTATGGCTATTGGGCCAACTCTCCACCTATCAGGGGAATGTGCAGGGGTTGGGCTACGGCCGGCCATTGCCGCTCGAAAGCGCTGGAGACGCTGTAGTACATATGCCAGGCCTGTAAGTGGCGCTGTAGTCTGCCACAAAAGCAGCGAAGAAGACTTCCTGCGCATGGTTACCATGGTTACCGTTCTGTTTATTCTCCTCTGTGGCTTTTTTTCTCCCTCCCCGAGGCAAGCGTTTGCTCCTGCAGCTTTATTTCAATGCAATCCCTCCCCGTCGAGGCAAGCACTGTACAGTAATTCTCTCCGGTTAGTCCACCAGCAGATGACAAACACCCACCTCTCTGCCTCTTCCAAGGAACGAGGGGACCGTGCGGCAGAGTTTCAGTTAGGTTTTCTTTCGCCGGTCAAGATGTCCGTTAACCTGTTACGCACGGCCCCCCCAGTACCGGGCGGATAAACGCGTTATTTGCAGGAAACAACGTCTAAGGAATCTTAATATTTAATAAAACTATGAATTTTTTATATCCATGTAACGGGAAGAAACTCAGCTAACTGATCTTTTTAATTTGTTTTTCCAAAAAAAACCCACAATGCTAGCACTCAGCCTCTGAATTAGCCACGGGCGAAAAAATTGAACCTAAAACGGCACTTAAACTCACAATAACTCCCTTATTACTTATTCTAGATGCACAGCCAACCACTCGTTTTTGGTGTCCTGGAGACACTGAATCTAGTGGTGCCCTCCTCAACACTCAATGATAAACATTTGCGACGCTATAAACGAAAGCGTACATCAGAACATGTGGAGCTAAGTAGCTAGAAACGCTAACATGGCTTACCTTGGTCAAAACTGGTCTTCAATGGCATTAAAACGATAAAAAAACGATGCTGCAGTTAATCCATAGGTTAATCCAATGTGTCTGTCTCCTCTTTGAAATGATTTCTGATAATCCATAAGCAATAAAACTGCTTTTTAGTTTCCAAATGTCAGAGGGAGAGATCGGTCCACTCTGATGCAAAATTACATGCGCGCAGCCCCCACCTTTTCTCTTTACAATGAGTGTGTATGAGCCTGCCCCTTCGATTCTATTGGCTCTAACGGTCAGAAAGAGGTGTCAACCATCAAAATCGAGCAAGGGGGGCCAGAGATATGGAAAAAAAAACATTTTCACCCAAATCACCTCAGAGGTGGGGTGGTTTTGGCTAAACCTCTCTAAAAAGGTCAAATGTCACTTGTTTTGCATCAATCTTGATACAGGGTACTTATTTTATGTTGTACTTTGGATTCCTAAAGCTTTTACTCTACTAACCCATCATCCAAGAGTAGTTTTCACTATCTGTAAAAAATAATTTTTGGACGGACACTATAATTTACAGTTTTTTACTATGTAAAATCTGAATTTTCTTTAAAATAAAAAACATCTATATTGATTCTGACACTTCTACATCCAACTCACAGATGTAACCTTGCTTTGATAAAAGAAATTATTCATATAACCCTTTTAGAAGTTAGCTTGTAGTCATTTGTTTTGGGCATGTCATTTTTGAGCCTGAAACATGAAAAACAGGCTTGGTGCTTAACAGGTTAAAGTTGAAATCTTCCGGACAAAATTAGAAAAGTGCCGGTCAAAGGTCTTCTTTGTTATTTATTGAGCTTTAAAACAAATGAATAACGACTCTATATAATAAAACACGGATGACGGAGATCTATTTTTCTCCCCCTCTTCTGACTTGATCAGAGCACGCTATCCTCTCCTGCAGGGGGGCGTGGTCAGCTGCAGCTCACAGAATCAGCCCCCTGCAAAAACAGGGCTGGAGAACATCAAATAGAGCGAAATGAGGCATGGCTAAAATGCATGATCTGTTTGGTATTTTGAAAACAGAAACGTATAAATATACCTTATATAGGTATGGCCCTACAATATATCATTTAAATATAGTATGATGATTAAAGTGGACCTATCATTCTATATTTGAATAATGGCAATGGCCGTGGCTGTCTCCTCCTGATTGGTGGAGTTGGCCCAATAGCCGTAGAGCCACTGTCCTGACGTCAGGACAGTGTTCAAATCTGGATCAGTTTTTATCAGATCCGTTGCAGCCCCTTTTTTAGAGATTTGGGTATGGAGGAAAATAGAGAGGGTTGTGTTTGCTGACACTTGGTGAGTTCCCTGGAACACCGGGGACACATATTCATGTATAAAAGACGTACAAAAGTGCATTTTGCATGATAGGTCCCCTTTAATATTTGTTATGGTGCCTGCTAGGGTGTCATTTTTAAATGTGCCACAAGGTGTCGCCAAAGTCAGCAATGTTCAAACCCTACACATAACTTTGTCAATGTTTGTTAAGTTTATTTTCTGTCAATTCTATGCATTCATGAAAAAAACATCAGGGCATATGACATTTCATATATCTGTTTCCATACATGTATAACTGTTGTGAATCATCATGAGCAATTCCTTCTATCAAACTATCACTTTACCCTCTTGGGAGGAAAATGTATACCAGTACATTTTCATTTTTAACTGGGGGGGAATACTGTAAAAAAATAAATAATAATAATCTCTTAATTCATAGGGAAGTCAAGTCCTGCACCAGCGGATGAAACTGTTTATTCTGAACTCAAACCAGGAACAGCTCTTGGTAAAATTGCAGCGTAACATCATGTAAGTATTGGGATTAATCACTTTATATATTTCATATATTGTTAAATATATTGTAAATGTCAATTCTTTAAAGGATTAAACCTTTTTTCTTCTTTGGTTTTCTTTCAGATCAAACAATGCCTTCTGTAAGGACAAGACGAATGGAAACAACATACCAAAACAAAACCTTTGTTTATTAAACCTTATTTGCAGCTTTGCTCTCCATTTATCAGCGAGTATTTTGTACAGTGCATGTAATAGCGGAAAATGTAAAATAAATGCATCGTAAGGCTTTAATCTATGTTTATTTAAAAAAAGTAAGCTTTGTTTTGCATCAATAAACTTGACTTTAATTGCTTCTACATGATTTTTCTTTACACAAGGTGTTTGTTTTGTTTCATCCCTTTTATTTTGGTGATCCAGTACAGTCATGCTTTTAGGTGACAGAAATCATTTAGAGGTGCAAGAGCTGAGATGTGACCAAAAATATGTCACTTTGAATCATCGGCCTTGTTACTAGTGATGAAGCAGAAGAAACATCTAATATTAGAGGTTTACAGGATTTTACCAACAAAACCTGACTTTTGTCTTCTGTTTTTAGACTAATGCATGAAAAATGATCAGAATTACAATTGCAATAAAGGTCAGGTTAAATCATTCTGCAGTTGTCTCGATGAACCATCTAACTGTTGGCGTTAAATATATCTGCCTGTGAAACACAAGTATAATACTGCCATCCATTTTTACTTGATTATGAGTTGAGCAAAAATGACTATTTACTCTGCCTTTTTAAAGTGAGATCTTGGTAGAGAGTGAAGTTCAAATGTATCTGCATGGCATGAGCATGAATTAGTCATGCCAATATAAAACAGGAAGGAAAGAGAGACTAGTTATTCTTAGGAAATGTGTAAATAACCAATGAGCTCATGTTGACATCAGATCAGATTTCTTCCCACAGTGCTCTGTCAGTCTTCCTCAATTTTCTTCAAGTGTTAAAGTGGACGTATGTGTAAGAGACAGAGAGTCAGTGTTCGATGGGAAGATGGGACACACTTTGCTCTGCACGCTGGGGTTATTCTGTGAGTACTTTTCAGACCCCTGGGCTAGGCCATTCCCTCACCTAAATGTGCTTCTTCTTTAGCCACTCCTGTGTCGCCTTGGCCGTATGTTAAGGTTTATTGTCCTGCTGGAAGACCCATCCATGACCCATTTTCAGTGTCTTGGCTGAGGGAAGGAGGCTATCGGCCAATATTTCACGGTACATGGCCCCGTACATCCTGTCCTCAATGTAGGGAAGTCGTCCTGTCCTCTTAGCAGAGAAACACATTTCGTCCTGTTGACTGTTGGGCTGCTTTGTGGAGTTTTACTGATAATTCTCCCGCTGCTGTTCCTGTATCTCTACAGAAAATCAAAAGGTAAGAACCTTTTCATCTGATATCAAATGAATTCAACTATAATTACTCAAAATCACACATCACATGTACCGGAAACCTTTGCAATTCAAGAAAAATGTAACTAATAAAAGGTTTTTCCTTTTTTCAACAGATTCAGTCTTCATCAGGTCGGGACAACCCTCTTTTATCTCATTTTGAACATTACAGCAGTTACATGTTTAAGTCAATCCACTTCATTATCTTCATGTGTATGGCCCACAAGATCTCAGAGCACCATAAGTATCAGATTACTTTTAGATTACTTTTGGATTACTTTCTTTATCCATCACAGATGAGAAAATAATAAAACAAATACAAAGAGGAAACAATTTGATATGTCTACCATTTATTTTAGGAGTATTAATATTTTTTCAGATAGGATCATACATTTACAAAACATCACCATGTTTTTATTTAACAAAATAATCTACAAGAAATCCTAATCTTATATTATAAAACATCACCATGTTTTTATTTAACAAAATAATCTACAATAAATCCTAATTTTATATTATAAAACATCACCATGTTTTTATTTAACAAAATAATCTACAAGAAATCCTAATCTTATATTATAAAACATCACCATGTTTTTATTTAACAAAATAATCTACAAAAAATCCTAATCTTATATTATGGTCCTATATTTAACAAACTATGCCTATCTGCGGCCTATCTACAGTATGCCTATCTTTGGCCTATCTACAGTTTGCCTATCTGCGGCGGAAACCAGGGCGAGGTGTTTCTGGATCCGTTTTTCGTGGGCTCCTCAGTCTCTCGTTTACCCGGTTCCTAATTTTATGCCACTGGTCCGTGATCAGGCCTGGGAACCGACGGGAGACACTGGACTCAAGTGTCTGCCTCACATTGAGGGGAAGAGGCATTTTCCCTTTGCTCCCACTCCAGTTGGTGATTTTGACCATGTTCTCATATGAGTCAAATGGCAACATGGCCATGAACATATCACCCGCAAATTTCTCAGGGCGATGCTGTCCATTTCGAAAGCAGTCCTCGAAGAACATGTCCTCGCAATCCGAGGAAACTGCAGTAACTGCTCCCCTTAAATTAAATGTATTCTGTAGATTTTGGGGATTCATTAATGCATTTATTGCCATCACCATGTTTTTTCAAGACTCTTTTAAATTCTATCATTTTATAAGGACTTTTCAGATGTCTGAGTGTAATATCTGCATTTTCTATTTTGGTTTGATAAGGACACATCCTGGGGATTGTGTTTACAAACATTGACCATACCGTTCACCATCCCCCACCCCCCTACTGTATGTTGATTTTTGACTTTGTTTGCCTACATGTAAATGGATGGCATTTAGTACCTACCCCCCTCTGAGAGAATACCTGCTTAGCTACTTGGCACTAAGTACAGATATGTCTACCCTTTCTTCTTAGGCGTTGTGCACACGGGAACGTTTGCGTTTATGCACAGTATGCGCTTTCAAAAAAGTCTTCCGTTCACATGCATTCGTTTCATTTACCGTGTCTGTTCAAACGAGACCGCTGGAAACGCTGTAGTACATATGCCAGGACTGTAAGTGGCGCTGTAACTTCCGCCAAAATACACCAAAAGCAGCGAAGAAGAGCAGCCCGGAACAGCCCCGCAGCAATGTTGCCATGGCTACCCTTCTGTTTATGCCCCGCGGTGGATTTAGCAACATGTAGTAGTTAATGTAATTCTCCATGTCCACTTGTTGCTGATGGTTGTGGTAGAGGAGCTGTAGATGTTGTACTAACATCTGTAGCATGGTCAGTAGCAGTAGCACTAGCAGTAGCTACTGACAGGAGGAAGTGTGTGTGGCGATTGCTGGTATTCAGCGGGATATAGTAATTTCCTCAGCATGTAAATATATGGATAAATGCAACGGGGAAGTTAACTGAAAGAAACCGAATCTGTGGATATTGCATCGACCGACCAAGAAGCACGTATCCGTGGAGAGGACGCGCTCAGAAAGAGAGATATTCTCTACAAACACCGGGTGAGATCGCTCCTCTGGGACACGCCGGTCCTCGCGCTTCCTTTTTTTGTGTGGATTATAAACATTTCTCTTTTTGCCGCCGACGGGCGCAGGAGCAATGAACAATAATGGCCTGGATTAGGCAGTAAAGACAATTTTGGTGTATCGCAGAGTGGACTGTTTAATTTTGTTTGTGTTGGTTGGCTGGAAAATGGTCAATATAATGGATCAATGCATGAAATCTGACTCTGTTTATTTTGTTTAAGGAGTATATTGGGCGTTAACAATTCTGGTTTGCCTTTTATAATATTATTTCATTCAAGAACCCCTTGTGCGTTTAATTAACACAGCTATTTTTGATAGTTGATCATAACAGATGGCTACTGGCCATGCTACAGCAGTGAGCAGGAGAGGTGGGGAGAGGTGGGGCTATCGTTATTTTTTCAGGAAATATTCGTATAGAGGTGATTACACGGACTCGGTTGACCCCCCAGAGCGTTTCGTTTGCAAATCGATCCACCTTGGGACCCGTTATCGTTTGTGGGGTCCGTTTCTATCGGCCTCGTGTAAATAATAGGGCTATACGCACGCGAAACTATGCAGATACAAGCAGTTTTCTCCTCGTGTAAACGGCGCCTTAGAGTTAGCCAAGAGGCTATTTTTCATCTGTAGTTAGTTAGATTTTAAAAGTCAATCTAAAACACATTTCATTTTAAACAAGTAAATACAATACATTTAAAACATGCAACATACACTGTAAACAAAATCTGTAATCTAGGCAGTAAATTGCTGTATTACCCACAGTCATTTACAATTTGTAATACAGTGTGATACTGTACATTATGCTGCACTGTGGGAATATTATCCTTAGGCGGGAAATGTATGTAAGCTGGAGTCTGAAATAAGCTAAAAATATGTATTTCTTAATAAACTAAATAGGCCACCATTGGTAGCAGTTCTCATTATATACTTCTCAGTAACTGCTCCCCTTAAATTAAATGTATTCTGTAGATTTGGGGGATTCATTAATGCATTTATTGCCATCACCATGCTTTTTCAAGACTCTTTTAAATTCTATCATTTTATAGGCCTATTTTAGTTTAACTTTTCTGAAAATAACAAAGCAGGGTTCAGGAAATATTCCCAACTGCATCTTCAAAAGTAATCCAAATAGCTACATCAGCATCTAGCAAATGAAAAGCTTTCTTTGTAGACATACAGATCAACTGTAGTGGCACAGTGGCAAATCCCTGCTGTGACTATTTGGACGTTTTAGGAATATTTTCCTATACCTGTTGACTTCACATCTTGTACACATTTAATTAGGAGCAAAAACACACACTTCAAGTCAGATCATCACCCTTAGCTATTTTAATTACCTCTCAAACAACCTAAACTAGTTATACATGTTTATTTTTACTGTCGGCCGGGTCAGCTGCTGCATGAGACAGACACTGAAAAGTATTATCATCTGAAATTAATCATTATGTTATTAGTATTAAATATATATAAGTATTTTTACAGCTTGTATTTTTTTACCAAGTGTTTTTATTGCTCTTGGGGCATTAAAAACAAGATTTTAACTTTAGTTTTTTATATAATATCTGCATTTTCTCTTGTGAAAAACTAAGTCTTAGTTTGGCCATAGTTATTTAATATATAAAGACTATATATTATTGAATTACAAGATTAGATATACTTTATTTGATCTAAAATATTGATGTGTTCAAATGCTCTTCTAAACAAAACTGAAAGTCCATGAAAAGTTGTCTTCCTGTTTTTGTGAAGGAAGCGCCATCTCCTGGTTAAATCCTGAAATTGAAAATCTGGCAACGCCCTCTTGGAAAATAGTGGGAGGGCTTAACATTCCCAGATACTGGTCTTTGGCAGGTCTTAGGCAGGTAACTGGCAGGTAGTAGGCAGGAAGCAGTAAGCTGGAGTCTGAAATAAGATGCTCCATC